CACGGGAGTGGCAGGGGAAGGGCAGACAGCACCTGGAAACCTCCCCTTGTTTCTGGAGGAGGCCCTGGGGTTTGCCCAGTCTGTCCGGGCACCAGCTGGAATCAGGGGTCCACCTTACTCATGGGCCAGCGGGAGGGGAGCAGATGAGGAGGGGCTCTCGGGGGCCAGGAGTGATGGGGTTAGGTGGGGGGAAGTCCCTGGGCCAGGAGTGACAGGGTCATGCAGGGAGGGGACTCCTTGGGACTGGGATGATGGGGTCAGATGGGGAGGGGGCTCTCTGTGTCAGGGGTAATGGGGGGTTAGATGAGGAAGGGCTCTCTGTGTCAGGGGTAATGGGGAGGCAGATGGGGAGGGGTGATAGGGTCAGACAGAGAGGGGGCTCTCTGTGTCGGGGGAATGGGGGGGTCAGATGGGGAGGGGCTCTCTGTGTCGGGGGAATGGGGGGGTCAGATGGGGAGGGGCTCTCTGTGTCGGGGGAATGGGGGGGTCAGATGGGGAGGGGCTCTCTGTGTCGGGGGAATGGGGGGGTCAGATGGGGAGGGGCTCTCTGTGTCGGGGGAATGGGGGGGTCAGATGGGGAGGGGCTCTCTGTGTCGGGGGAATGGGGGGGTCAGATGGGGAGGGGCTCTCTGTGTCGGGGGAATGGGGGGGTCAGATGGGGAGGGGCTCTCTGTGTCGGGGGAATGGGGGGGTCAGATGGGGAGGGGCTCTCTGTGTCGGGGGAATGGGGGGGTCAGATGGGGAGGGGCTCTCTGTGTCGGGGGAATGGGGGGGTCAGATGGGGAGGGGCTCTCTGTGTCGGGGGAATGGGGGGGTCAGATGGGGAAGGGCTCTCTGGGCCACGGGTACTGGGGGGTCAGATGGGGAGGGGTGAGAGGGTCAGACGGGGAGGGGGCTCTCTGAGCCAGGGATAATGGGTTCAGATGGGGAGGGGCTCTCTGGGCCAGAGATGATGGGGAGGGGGCTCTCTGGGCCAGGGGTGATGGGGTGAGATAGAGTGATTTCCTCGGGTGATGCATACAGATGTTGAGGGCCGTCCCTGGGGTCGGGGGGACTGGGTCAGATAGGGTGGGCTTGGGCTTGGGGCTGGGGGGAGGTGGGGTAGAAACTTTGACACCAACTTTAATTATTGCACGGCTCAGTCATTATGCTCCAATGTGGCAAGCAGGGAACCCAGACTTCTGGGTTCTGCTTCCATCTCAGAGGTGTCCCTTTGCCAACCTGCCCCCGTTGCTGCCTCTGGGGGTTGCCGGGGGTGGTGCTGCCCTGCGTCCGGAGGGCAGCGTAAGAGCTGAGTAGCGCTGCTCCCGAGGGAGAGGCACCCGTCTGTAGATCGTGGGTGTCGCACAGGGGCACCAGGCTGGCTATAGGAGCGGTATGTACAGAGCAGTGCCATTAAAGGAGACAAACGGACTGAATCTTTTATGGGATGTGTCATAGCATCCATGGGAGTCCCAAGCCAACGGAGGGGGCTGAGACCCTCCCCCACCTGGCTACAAAGTGGGGAGAGTGTGAGGGCTCTGCCCCTTAAAGCCACACACGGGTGTGCAAACACGCTCACATGCAGCCCCTGCCACACACCTGCCGCATGCACACAGCCCCTCACACACACTCGGCTTTTCCAAGGCAGGCTCTGGGCCTGCGTGGGTGCACAGGCTCCTTTCAGACCCTTACCCTTGGTCCTCATTCTTTCCCTGGGTCCCACCAGGGCAGTGTTGCCACGGCGTGGCTGCCGTGGCCCCACACAGCCCCCAGGAGAGGGGCACTTCCACTGCCTGCTCCTGCTCTGAACTCCTCTCCTGCCTGCTCAGAGCCCTCTCGGCCTTCCCAGCCGCCCTGTGCGGCTTGGCCTGACCTCGGAGTTACTCGGGGGCCCGGCAGAGTCTCCCTCACCCGCAGCTGCTAAGGCCAGGAAGGGATGTTTCTCTCACAAGGAATTCGCCTGGGCTGGTCCCAGGCCTGGGGCATCTAGGGGCTCAGGCGAGAGGAGCACCAGGGCCCCTTTGGGTTGTGGAGTCACGTATAGACTCTTCTCCGGCTACCAAGGGCAAGTGGATGCTGGAACAGAACGAAGTGGGGGAGGGGGAAGGCAGCTGAGCACTGGAAGGGCAGGAAGAGGGGAGGCAGGGGAGCAGCAGCCCCTGGGGCTCTCCACCACCACCCCACCCCCCGCTCTGGTCTGTTCAGCTCACTTCCCATCTCTGGCCCTGCCCTTCGGGTGAGGGTCTGGGCTCATGGAGAGCACCCTGAACAGGGGGTGCAGCTGTCTGAGTGTCTCTCCCCAGCTCTGCCACTGGCGTTGTAGAATAACCTTGATCCTGTCCTTTAGCCTCAGCTCTCGTCTGTCCCGTGGGGCGGGGAGAGAGGGGAGGTCCTGGTCTGTTCAGCTCACTTCCCATCTCTGGCCCTGCCCTTCGGGTGAGGGTCTGGGCTCATGGAGAGCACCCTGAACAGGGGGTGCAGCTGTCTGAGTGTCTCTCCCCAGCTCTGCCACTGGCGTTGTAGAATAACCTTGATCCTGTCCTTTAGCCTCAGCTCTCGTCTGTCCCGTGGGGCGGGGAGAGAGGGGAGGTCCCTTCCCTGCCTATGGGGGGGGCTGTGAAATGAAAAGCTGTTCTCCACTGTGGCAATGTAGTGCTCAGTGTCAATGGGAGAAGCTCTGCCGCTGGCGTATGTACCCCACCTCCCCAAGAGCCACTCACTATGTTGACAGGAGGAGACACCATAGTTCTGTGTACACCCTGCGTGGTGTAGTTACACTGGCATACGTCGGTAGCACACACCAACCCCAAACCCCACTCGTGGCTGCGGCTTGGATGCCTTCTGGCCAGGGGCCGATGTGTCTCCCTTCACCATAAAGCATGGACAGCAGAAGTGGGGGAACTGCCCTGAATATGGGGGAACGGTGACCTTGCCCTTTGCCAAACCATACCCCTTCCAAAGCCCTGGATCCACACACCAGCTTTTCCCTCTGTAGCCCTTCTGCTAGGTGGCTCCAGGAGCAACCAGGGCCGGTCTAAAGGAACCTTTACATCAACACAACAGAGAACCGACTCGAGCCCCCACCAGTAGCCTGGGGGATGGACCCTGACCCCTGGGTGCCTCTGGGAGGCACTGCTTCCCCACTCGTGTGCGGATAAGACCCCGTTTAATGAAAGGGGGAAGTCACTCGGCGTTCATGAGTCACAGACAGAGTTCATGAGTCAAAGTCCCACCCAAGTGGGCAGTGTCCTTTTCCTCTCAGGCTCTTAAGTCCAGCCACCCAAAAGTCCCCTTCCATATGCTCGACCCTCCTCACACCCACTCACAGTTGCTGCCCTTGGTCAGTGCAGACCCAGAATTCAGAGGTGCATCTGCAGAGCTCACCTCCTCCCCAAAAGGAAAAGAGGCACCTTACTCGCTCCACTGCCCGGGCACTCACTGGCCGCCCCTCTTCACTGGCCACCGTGCTGGCTGCTCGCTGGCTGTCCCCTGCTGCCCCGCTGGCTGCCCATCATGCCTCTCCACCAACCACCCTTCTGACCCCTCATTGCGCCTCTCCACCTCCCCGGCTACTCGTTCTCTGGCTGAGTAGCCGTCTCTGCCTGCTGCCACTGCCTCTGTTGTGACCTCAGCACAGCAATCTCCTAGCCAGGGTCAGCGCCTTGTCGACCGGGCCAAGCCCCCATCTCTGCTCTGCCTGGGCTGTAGCTCTTAGCAACACAGTCCTAGCAAAACTGATCTCAGCGCCGCTTGGTTGTTTGATGTAACAAAGACGCTCCTAACGAAGCCGGTTTAGCTCTTTCTTTGGATGGGGGTAGGGGAGGAGAAGCAGGTTAAATCAGTCCAG